GACTGCAACCAACTCCAATATACTCCATGGCCAGGACTAACATGATGGACATAATGTTAGGCAGTTGGACAACTGTCTCTTAGTTGCTCTGCAGTCCATGGGGACCCCAGCATCACACAGCTGGGAAAGCTCCCAAAGCATCTCAGCCTGCCCCTGGGCTCAAAGGAAGGTGCAGAGGGTGCTGGAGCTACTCACTCTGGACATGCAGGTCCTTGGCCTTGGACGCCAGGGACATAAGGTCCCGGGTGGTGTGGACAGCAGCCCGGAAGCGACTCAGCCCTCCCTGCTGGGCAGTGGGAGGCAGATTCGCCCGGGGAGTTGTGTGCTGCAGCAGTTGGTCCAGGTACTGAGCAACCTCATCATCGGTGTCCTCTGGAAGGGAAGGCAGCAGAGCAGGGCTTCAGCCACTTTGCACTGGGGCACCCCCAGGCCCAGAGAACTCCCAGCTGTGCCTCAGCAGGGGCAAAGCTTTGCTGGCTGCACAAAGTGACAACATGGGGCCAGTGCTGGCAGCCAGGTGGACAGACAGACAATGGCAGCAGCCAGGCTCACAAAGCACTGCAGCCACAGCACCCCTGTTCCTGCACGACTCCACTGCCTGGGACACTGGCTGCCAGCTCAGGCTAAACTGGGCTCCCTCCGAGTCCCACCTGGACGAAGGAAGCGATGGGGCTGCAGCATGTGTCTAGTCCAAGCCTGGACAGGAGAGTCCCACTCACACCCTGCGGTGAAACCCTCGCACTCGGGGAGGCACATCCAGGGGCAGCCTGTCCAAGCAGAGACACTTAGAAGCACACCAGCACAGCAAGGCCATTTTCCAAGCAAGACTCCAGCATGGGAGCAAGGGAGGGTGGGTTAGTTATTCCTAACACGGAGTTAAGAGTAAGGCTCCTGCCTTGCTCTTTGTCCAGCCTCAAGCATCTCCAATTGCTCCCAATGCTACATCAGGAGTGCAAGAGGCACCACATGCTAACAGCAGCATGGAAGAGGGTGCTCAGAGGCCATGTCTCTGCTCAGCCAGGAGGTAACAATAAGCAGGGTGCCCCTGGAGGGAGATGTCCCAAATAAAACACAGAGCTGTCAATGCATTTCCAGTGGGCCAGGGCAAACCCATGCTGCTTTCCAGTTGGCAAACTTGGAGGTGTGTGGGCCCCAGGAGGTGAGCTGCAGACTGCACCTGAGGCAGCACAGCATCCCCTTTCCACATCTCAAGGGAATGCCTCATGCCAGTGCCCGAAGGCTCAGCTAGGGCAGTCCTCCAGACACCAGGTTGAGAACATCCTCCTTCCTGGCTGCCGCATCTGCCCACAGGAAAAACTTTAAACTGAGCATCTTATAGATGCCATAGAGAGGACAAGCAGGTCCTGTCTCCCACTGGAGCTGGGGGGAAGCAGACACCTTGGACAAACCTGGATGCAGCCTGTAGGGGGACTGCAGGTGAAGCAAGAGAAGGGCAAGAGACATGAGCATTCATTTCAGAGAAAACAGATTGCCTGGGGACATGATGGATCTTCCCCACCACCTTGGGTACTGTGCCATCATCTTCTGCACCATCACTTGTGCCCCAAAGACCCTCGGCCACATCTCTTGAGTGGAAGAAGGCTGCCAACCCTTTGTCTCTTCCCTGCACAGCAGCCTACAAAGGTCAGAGCAGCTTGTTCAAGACAAGGCTGACAGAAGGTCAGACATAGTGAAAATCCAAGTGTGTGAAGAACACAGAGGTGAATGCTGGCAGGAAGGTTGCATGTTACAGCTTTAAGGGTGAGTTTGGCGTTTGCCACACCACAGCAGCAACTGGCCTATTCTCCCATAGCATTCTGTGCTACCTGCAAGCCATGCAGCCACTCCTCAGCATCTAGCTTCTCAAAGTTGTCACTGCTGAGCCTGTAACTCTTGGCAAAGACCTTACCCTCTGGCCCAGGGTCCATAAAACTGAGGTGCGTTCGGCAAGACGTTGTCAGGAATTCCGACAATTTACCCATCTGGACCCTGGGTAAGAGATGAGGAGGTCACATGGAGAGGAAAGGGAAGGCAATACCCTTGGCTGTCCCTCCTGGCTCCAGGGCAGGCCCTTTGACAGGGAGAGACACACTCACCAGGAGTGTACACACACTAGTGTCTGCTTTAGGTGTCTGCAACTCCTTCAGCCACAGGTGGGCATGCAAGGGCTGCCCATAAGCTATTAGAGGGATCCTGCAGCCATGAGTTTGACGACATGAAGAGCTATATCTTCTCTCTCATCTCATCTGTTAGGATTGTTGTCCCAGGGCACACTGACAGCCTAGTACATCCCAATGTATCCTCCCCAGCTTGTTTCCCCACAGCCAATGCTCTGCCCAGCAGGTATCCTCATAACCAGGCTCTTGGAAGTCACCAGCTCTCTCCTTCCAGAACCCCAGGAAGCTGTGCTCACCTTGCACCACCGAAATACCCATCTTGCAGCTTCCGCAGCATCGCCAGCACCGTGGGGTGCACACTGCTGCCGGTTTCGTCTGTGGGGAAGAGGCACAGGCAAGTCAGGCTCTCCGGCTCCAACTGGCTCCCAGAAGGTAACCCAGGGCCAGGTGGGCATTCAGACACCCAAAGCAGCATGGCATCGGCCAGACCCTTGCTTTGGGGTACATAGCCAGGCTGTGGCATCAAAAGCACCACCCAGAAAGGGAAATTCTGGACTGTCCAGGCAGGATTCCAGGAAAGTCAGGCCAAGATGCACTCCAGGCTCCTGAGATTTCACCCTGGGCTGAAGCTGACAGTATCTGACAACAGCAGCACCCAACAGGCCCCTGCTCTGTCCCTGGCTTTCACACGAGGCAGCAGAGTGGGGGGTTGCTGTCGGGGGCAGGAGGCACCACAGCAAAGGGCACACTTGAGACACTAAGGGGATTTCAAGTACACAATGAGAGGCAAAAAGGCCTAAAAAAGCAGAACAGTAATTTCCCAGGAAAGCTGTGAGCTGCTGCAGGCATGCCAGTTCTGCTCTGCACCATTGCACAGCTCTCTGCTCCTTCTGGTTTGTTGTTTTCCCCTCTCTGTTGTCTAGGAAAGCCTTTAGCATGTGGTCAGTCTTAATGAAGAGTCCAGATGCATGAAGAGTCCCAAGAACACTTCCACAGGGGGATTGTTTTTTTTGTCTTGCTCCCAAAAGGCCTTCCCACAAGCCTAGTTGCCTGGAGCTTGAATACCTCCATGCCAGCAAGCACGTGCCTCGAGTTGAAATCACTAGTGCCTGGCAGGTAACCCAGCCAGCTGCCAGGCCAGCTGCCCACTCAGCGCGGCTCCTCTGAGTGGTAAGGTCTTCACAGGACCACTACTGGCTGCTCCAGCCCCACCATGTCCAAGTTACGGAGATGGTCACACATCTGCCCACCCGCTTCCTCCCACAGAGGCTGTGTCCCAGGGCTGCTCTAGCCAAATGCATTGTGAGGCTGGAGGATCTATACCGAGCATGGTGTGGGAGATGGGGAAGGTGATAGTTGGCCGCCCAGTCATCCTCCAGCGGCTGCACAGGTATGAGAGGTCCGTCCTCAGCATCTCCACAATCATCTTGTTGTCAAGAGCCAGGTAGAACTGCTGCTGGTCTAAGAACTGCGAGGACAGCAGGAGATGTGAATAGCCCTTCCTGCAGCTACCAGGTCCCTTTGGTGCCACCCACATCTTCCTACAGGCCAGGCCAGTTACACCGTGCACCCAGAAAACATGCTCCTTTGCACTGACAGCTCATCCCACCCTACATGGCAGGTGCCAGTACATTCTAGCAAGGGATCCTCATACCCCAGGGCAGCTACTGACCACTAATAACTATGTGGAGGTAACTAATGCCACAGCTCAGAAGCAGCAGCATCCAGGCCCCACACAGCTAGTCCACGTTGTGCCTGTCCTGAGCAAATACGCACTCCCCACAGTGCTAGGCTTGTAATCCTGCTCGTCCCCTGAACACAGGGAACACAGGGATCCCTGGCCTGCCATCAGCCTCCTCCTGGTGTCCTTGTCAGGATGAGCAAAGAGATTTTCACCTAACACTGATCATAAGGCTGAAACCATTTCCTCCCAGCATGCACACAGCCAAGACCACCAACTGTGCTGCCTCATGTCACAGAGCTGGAGCTCCTCCACACTCTCAGGCTGTTCAGAGGGTGTTGGGCCACACCTGAGAATAACTCGAGCACTCAGCCAGTGGAGAAATTTCCTGCCCAGTTCCAGATCACGTGACAGCTGGGAATGAGCCCATGTAATACCACCCACCTGTGGGGTAAAGGTAAAGATGTTCTTCCTGATTTTGTAGAGCTTGGAGGTCCCAAGGACACCCATGTGCCGGTAGGGCCGTCCGGTCAGGCACATCTGCTTGTTACGGCCTGCAAGGGGAGGAAAAGGAGCTTTTAGTGTGAGCCTTCTCATGAAATGGGCTGCAGCAGCAAGCAGAGTCAGGCCTCTTGTTACCAGACAGGAGGAAAATGCTGGTTTGTGGTTGGGATACACCAGAACCCTGTGTTGAGCTCTAAGGAACAGTGATACACTGTCCCCAGCCCTGCCCAGCGGGCTAGGGACACGCTGAAACAGGGACACACAGCCTGTCCTGACCTCTGCAACACGTCACACCTCCAGGTCTTTGGAGAAGTCAGAAGCCAGAGCAGGGCTAGGGGTGCCCTTGTGCATAGGGCTGGTCCCCCAAAGCTGAGAGCTCTATCAGAATTCCCATTGCTCCTGGATTACTCCCAGAGCCCTGGATGGTGCAGCAGCATCATCATCCCTTGCTCCTGTCAGCCCTGGCAGCTGACAGGCTGCACTCCCTGCCCCATCTGCCCATGTCACACTTGGCCTTTTCATGGTTTAAATTAGCAACCAAATTAAATCACGGCAGATCAGGTGTCTCCTTTGGCCCAGGCTAGGTTTCCGGCTCCGGCACAAGTCCCATGCCCGAAGGGTTGCAGCATCAGGGAACCAGCATGTAGAGCTCAGCATACCCTCCCCTCACACTCAGCCCTGCCTACCCTTCAACAGTCATTCTGCCTGAGCTCTGGGCTCTCTCCAGCAGGGATGGCCAGAGGACCCTTCCTGGGATCTGGCTGGCCTCTCCCATTGAAATCTGGGTACAGGAACAAGAGCCAACTCCTGCCCACGTCAAGTTCATGCTATAGGCATCAGAGCCTCTGCCTGTCCCTGGGGTGACTGTGCAACTGCAATGTCAAAGCTCTATCCTTGTCAGAATCACCCTGAACAGCACTGCCTGCCACCTCATTCCCCTTGGGCACAAGTGGCTTTACCAGGCCCAGAAATGGGCAGCAGAACCCTCATCAGCCAGGCAGAGTGCAGGACACAAGTGTCTTTGAGCAGGAGTGCCAACAGGTAGGACAGACCCTTCTGCACTTCCTTTGCTGCAGAACCAAGGAGCCCAGCTCACCCAGCCGGGCATAGATGTGGCTGAGGATGCGAGCAGGCTGCACTCTGATGGGGTACATGTCTTCCACAGTCTCCACATCGATGCCATCCTTCGTCAGGATTGCCTTGATCCCCTCCGTCTCTGCCACGATGCACACTGCAGAGGGAAGACAGGCTCAGTGCGACAGGGGCACAAGAGGGTGACAGCACTGCCCCGTGCCTTTGGGGACCACAGTGAGGCAGCTGTCTGGGGTCACCTGGGGAACCAGTTCCCACTGCAGAGGTCTGCTTTGCTCCTCCTAACACTGTCTATACCCAAGCCTTCCCTACCAAGTGGCAGGACGACAGCTTTCAACCTCTCTGCAGAGGAGGCTGCAGCAGGTGATATTTCCCCTAGGTCAACACAGGGTGGAATGGAACAACTTGCATCCCATCTTCCACCCACCTTGCCAGGGCCAAGATCAGGCTATACCAGCACCAGCCCAGCAGGCAGAGCCACCCCCATGAATTCTGCACAGCCAGAGTCCCTAGGCCTGCCAGGGTCAGGGGTTTGGGACTGGATCCATTCCCTCACCTTGGACCACCACATCAGGCTTAGGGACTGTTGCAAACCGGCGGTTGAGGGGATCTATTTCACCAGGAGCTAGAAAACCCTGAGGAGGAAGAAAAAGTACGAGATGAACATTTGACAGGCAGGGTAGAATGGGTGATGCCTATGGACAACCCACCTTTAAGAGGTCCTGGGGAATGTAGGTGACAATTTCCCCATGGTGGGTGGCAGACCATCAGAACTCAGAGCCTGACCCCACAGCCCTCCCAGCACCCAGGGTGACCATACCTCAGCCATCAGACAGCCCAGGATGTAGAGAGACTGCCCCCACATGAGCGGCAGCTTGCCCATGGGTATCCTGTCCACGGTGTGGGGGTTCCTGTACTCCTCATCCACCTGCAAGACAAGCCAGGAGGTCAAGGAGGGACCTACAGACACAAGATGATGAAGGAAACATAATCACTGTATTTTAAAGTCCAGCAGTTCAAGGCTTAAAACAAGTGCCTACAGCAGCATTTGTTACACAGGGTCCAAAACAGCCTGGCTACATTCCTCCCCTCTTGTCAGGGCTGCTCCAGACACCCGTGTCAGACGACGGATCAGCTGCTCAGACCATGTTTGGTTTCCTAACTCAAGCCATCCCACTGGAAGAGCTGACATGCCCCAAGAGCACCGGGGAGATGCTCTTAGATGCTGGTGAGGAAAGCACCACTCCTCCACAACCTAGGCACTAGGAGGTCACTGCTCTCAGCCCAGGCCCACACAAACCCCCTCACCACTGAACAGGAGCTCAGCATCACCTCCTCAGCCTGGGTCCACCTGACCTGAGCCCTCAAAGTACTCAGTCTCCAAGTGAGCAAACTGGCAGCAAAGCACCATTGTGTATGGGGGCAAGAAATGCTCTGGGGGTGGAAAAAAACCAACTTTTATACAACACGGTTGTGTAACAGCTCCAAGCCATGAAGATTCCGTGCACTCCATGTGCTGCTTTGCTAACAACTTGGGTTAATAAGCATTTCAAACTTAATTTTCTGGTAATGAAACACTCCCACTCCCACCATAGCTCAGGATCACTCACCTTATCCAGTGGGACACTGTACAGCTCTGGCATCAGGCGTATCCCATTCTTCCCCTTGATGAGAACCCCCTCAAGGGCTTCCCGATACTCCTGCACCTGAAAAGAGAAGAGAGGGAATATGCCCCTGGTTGTGGCTCCCTGCATCCTTCCCCTGCACACCTGCCCTGCCAGGGACTTTTCTCCACCAGCCTGGCAGCTCCTGTGTCCCTTACCTGCTCCATGTTTCCACTGAAAATCCCATCAATGATCAAGTATGCCCAGAAGAGAGGCCACTCGCACTCGATGTTCTCAAACAGCTTCAGCTCAGCAGGTTCATAGTAGAGGCGACTGGGGTCCTGTAGGTGACAGCAAAGCAGGTAGTGGGGGCAGGATCTCCTCAAACTGACAGGGCTCCTTCCTCCCTGAGACCCCAGCCTCAAATGTCCTCTCAGACCTCCTCTGCAGAAGATGGCTGAGACAGAGCTGAGAAACAGTTCTGTTCTCCAGCCTCTGTTCTCTCTGTCAGACACTCTCTCCTGAGCCCCTTGCCCTAATGCTGAAGAGAGTCATCCTTCCTGGGCAAAGGAACTCTACCCAGTCCCCAGGAGAATCCCCCAGAGCAGACTGACTCTTCTACATTGTCTGCACTCCAGCCACAAGCTCCCAAAATCCCATCCGACTCCAGCCAGCTGCATGCCTCTGCAGGCACCACTGCCCTTCCAGTGCCTCACAGCTACCCAGAAGTAATCCAGGACTTTGCACACTGGCAAAGCTCACAAGTGCTGGGAATATTGGACTGGAGATGCTGCTGCTTCTCTGGCTCTGGAGCAGGGCAGCCACGCTCACTGCCTATTATGGGCAGATCTGCAGAGGCACAGTGAAGGAGAAAGCATTCAGAGGCACTCATGCACAAAGGAGCCCCACCAGGTTATGGGCCCAGCAGCTGGTGATGATTTAAGAGCCTCCAAGCACCATTTCCTAGTTCGGTGGTTATCAAATGAGACTATTGCTTATAAATCTTTCCTGTTTTCCCTCTCCAAAGCAGCAGCAGAAAGTCTCTGTTCACTTGTGAGAGCCACCATGGCAGTACCCATGGTGCCTGCTAGCCTGGGAGAGGCAGAAGGAGCTTTGTGACCTCTAGAGCTGCCACAGAGCTGAGGGTGTTAGGCAGGAGCACTGCACGGTCACATCCCCAGGCCTCTAAGCTCAGGGCTGGCACAGCCCTGGGATAGTCACCTCAGCAGGGCTCCCACATGGAGCCCTGATCCCCCTAGCCTAAGAGACACACCACCAGGTCCCATGATGCAGACAGAGCCAGCCTCTGTCCATCTGCTATGGTTGTGAGTGGGACATACCACCTCTGCAATGAGCTCTGGCATTTTGGGAAGCCTAGCCCAGCCCCATGACACTGCCTGGGGCTACTCAAGGCTCATCTTCCCAGTGCTCCCCATCAAAGCCTTTCTGCTGCACCTGGGAGGCTGCTGCTTGGCAGTCAAGTTCCGGCAGGTGGCAGGGCTGAGGACACTCACCTCTTTGGGGGTCCTGTATCCATCCCGGAGGAAGCGGCAGCAGCCATAGCGCGGAAAGAGGTGCTGAGCAGAAGGCACAGCATGAGGCACCTTGTACCTTCAATACATAAACAGGTGCAGGGTGTGTTCTCCAGCCATACACCCCCCTCCCACACCTGTGACACACCCCTGCCACAGGTAATGGAGACTGGGAGAGAACTTGCCCCAGCACCCCGAAAAGGGCTACAACAGTTTGGACTGCAGATGTCTCCTGGGAATAGTAAATCGAGGGCAGTGCCACTCACCTGCAGCTTTGTGATGATCTCCTGCTTGGTGATTTCCACCAGCTCACTGTCCTCCACAGCAAATGCTGGGTAGGAGATGACAGAGAGCACACTGGCATCCACCTCCTTGGACGTGGAGGCCCTGGGCAGCATTGAGTGGAGGATGGACTGGGCAAAGGGGAAGGAGGAGCAGTTAGCTTGCCAGGCCAGGCATCATTCAGATCAACCATAGCAGATCACAGATCCTCCTGCAACAGTGTAACACCCGGGTGGGTCTCACCTGGCAGTGCTGCACCTCATCTGACAGCACCCGTATCACTGACTGTGGGCCTCCCTTTGCTCCAAAGAGATCCAGCTCATCCAATGCCTCCAAGGCAGCCTGCAAGCAGGGTGAAATCCAAAGAAGCACATCCTTCACCATGCTGCTCATCTGCAAGAGCTTTCAACCCCATGCCAGTTCCTCTGTGTAACACACTGACCAAATTTAAAAGAATTTAAACAATGCTGTAGCTGCAAAACACCTCTGGTCATAATGGGACCACATCTCCAAAGTCATGGGTAGCCAGACATCAGCAGGGCCATGGGTGTTTCTGCCACACACCCCAATTAACTTTTTGGTCCCAGTTCAGGCAAAACTTAGGCTAGAGTGGCACAATTTTATCCCAGTGGACAAGTAGAAGGGACTTCCTTCTCAGGAACCTACCACTGCATGGGGCATTAAACATCAACCATTCAACTTGTCCAGCTTGCCCAGTTAACACTGGTGCTCCCCATCCCCCAGACAGCACTTCTCTACAGCTCACCTTGGCCATGCCGATAGAGCTGGCATTCAACTCAGTGATGCCTTGGTTCGTCTTGTCCCCACGCTCCCATATCCCGAAGTCCTGCACAAAGGCAGCAGTTCACACCCAGAAAGTCTTTGAATCCCACCCATTGGTGGTGCTTCCAGCAGATGCTGTGGGACTTTGGCCACTGGGGCTCAGGGGTGACCCACAGCTGTCCCTAGACACCAACCCCCCAACCTCCATCCCCAGAGCACACACTACCCACCGCAGTTTTGTAGGCAGCTTCAATGTAGAACACAAGGTTCTGGATAAAGTTGACTTCATCCAAGCTGTGAATTATGTGGAGGCCTGAAGCAGGGGATTAATTCACATTAGCCACTCCAAGCCCACAGGCATCCCCAGGAAGGAGCTGCAGTAACCCAGGGACTCCTTCTCCCACTGCATGCTTGTGTGACAGGAGCCATGTCCTGGGTGACTGCTGTTTCCACTCCCATCCTCTATGGCAGCCCCGAGGCCTCAGGCAAACAAGAGCTCCTAGAGAGACATCAAGGGGCCCAAACCCACCTTGGGTGCTATGAGCCTAAGAAAACACTGGAGTCAGGCAAGCCATGGCAGCAGCTTGGCACCCAGGAAGCTGCACCCAAACTATGGAGAGCCTGGAGACCAGCAAGCTCAAAGCTGCAATGGCAGTCCCCAACAGCATTACCTGAGGCTGTCATCTGCGCCAGCATGAGCAGGTAGAGGGAGGTGGCATCCATCTGTAGGTGGCCCCACTCATTGTCCCCCACCACAGTGGCACAGGTCTGGGTGTTATACTTGGCATGCAAGCAGTCCTTGGTGCTCTGACTGTACTTGAATGCCTCCACCTTGTCCACCTTGAGAAGGGCAATGATATGCAGGGATTCATCAAACTGTCTCTGCAGAGGTTTGACAGATCTGCCCCATGCCATGAGCCCAGCACATGAAGTTGTGCCTGGCAGGGCAGAAATTCCACAACCCCTGGGCTGAGCCCTCCCATGCACCAAGGCAGTGAGTACAGGCTCATGTACCACTCCGGCGCAGGGCTGCAGCTGTGGAGGGCCCACTACCACAGCTGCACTGTGCAGAGGGAAAAGGGTCACCCCAAACGCCCCCCGAGAGGAGCACTGCAGAGTCCTAGCACCAGCCAGGCCATGAGACAGGGAGCAGCTGGCAAAGGCTCCACTGGCCACCAGCCCACAGCACTGGAACTTCCAACACACCCAGGACAGATGCTAATTCAGAACTTATTTCAAGACCTCCTGGAAGGAAGCTTTCCCTCTGCTCGTCAGAGAAGGCTGGGGAGAGCCAGCACAGCTAGGACTGACAGTCTCTGTGGCACAGCGGGGCTTTAAGCAGACCACCTGGCACTCGGAGGGCCTGTCTCATCATACACTGGAGCAGTCCCCGCATCAGCTTCACCACGCTCTGCAGGAACAAGGAAAACAGCCTTATTAATCTCCAGCAGAAGCCCTGACTCAGGCTCAGCTGGCCGCTGACCTTTGCAGGGCTTCGGCGTCTGTAATCAGAGCTCCCGCTCGCGTTTCCACAGCCCCTGGACGACAGCTGTGCTGTGCGGCAGGACAGGACAAGGCTGCGGGACACAGCACCCCACCCCTGGGAGAAGGGCTGCGTCCCCACATCACCCCCGAGCCAGCTCTGACATCTCTCCCTATTGCCCCGCGCTAGGGGACAGCCCTGTCCTCGCCCTCCCTGCACGGCCCCAGGGCCCGGCGGTGCGGCCACCAGCCCCCGCAGCCCCTACCTGCTCCAGCTCGTAAGCTTTGGCCTTGTCCTCGTCGCGGTCGGCATTCTTGCGGTAGGCCAGTCCCAGCCCCCACACCGCCAGGATGCTGTACACGTTGTCCCGGACCCAG